ATGAAATGGACAGTGTCCACAAGAGCTCACTTCAAGCTAAAGTATCACCAAAGATACTTGGTGATTTTGAAGACAATTATGATAAACTATTGAAGGATGTTAAGAGTGATTTGGAAAAATGGGCTAATTTGCAATTATCCTTGCTGGGAAGAATAGCACTGGTTAAAATGACTATATTACCAAAGCTTTTGTTTTTATTCCAAATAATTCCCATAAAAATTGATAGAAATTTTTTTGATGATTTAAATTTTCAAATTTCAAGATTTATATGGAGAATATAATCTGGCAAGTTTGTGCAAAGGAGCACTCCTCATTGTTGTTACAAAACATCTGAATCCTGCCAGATCCCCACTTCCTTCTTATTATCTTGGTCCCCATATACCTTTGGCTTCCTTAACTCCTCAACTGCCCACAGACACAACCCCTTTATGTCAGAGTCCTGTAAAGGCTTTCTCCCTAGTGAAATGAACCTCTGGATCTCCCAAAATCAACAAAGGGAGCAGAAGGGAAGCCCCCTGTGGCCCTGTCCATCCACCAGGAGGCCAAAGCCTATTTGGAGCCAGTGCAACCAAACGACCAGGAAGAGCTTCCCAGCAAGGGGCAAGCCAGCCAGGTCCTGTCCACTGGCCTGAGAAGGATCATCTGCACAAAGTTTGCTCTTCCTTCCCTGCCAGAAAGAAAACTAAATTTCAGCTGCCAGGAAGTAAGAAATGATTATTCTGTCCATTTCACTTGCCCCTAATTTATAAAAATCCATTTTCCATCTCATTTGAAGAAATTTGCAACTTTTGGGAAGTTCCTCAAACAAACAAACAAACAAAGCAAAATTCTTATTTATCAGCACCAGCATAATTCAATAGGTACAGTTCTGCCAAATTTTGAGAAGACCATGTGATACCTAGTGGCCACACAGCTGATAAAACTGAGGAGCTTTTTAGTAGAAAGAGATGGCAGTCCTACTTCAGCAGCACATAGTTAAATACACGTGATACAGTGATACAAACCTGATCTTGTAAGAGCAAAGCACTCAATTACCCTCGCAAGAATGAACAGGTATGCCAGATTACCCTCTTCCCACATTTGTATTTTTAATACTCAAATTCTTTGCATTCTGCTTATGAAGCAATTTGTACATTTTGCTATGCATGAAAAAGAACCACACAAATTTCTCACTCATCTTTGCAGAAACAAGGAAAAGCATGCTCTGTTCCCACCATTCAGATGGAGAACTACTGGTGTCTGCATGTGTATGTATGCCTGAGGAAGGGGGACTTTATGTACAGAATAAAAATAAGCTGTAGTAAGGTGAAAATATTTTGATTGAAAGCCAGCTCCTAGCTCTTCAAAATAAAATAGATCGACTAGCATAGGCTTCAGAAATGCCACAACTCCTCCATCTACTGTAGCAGTAAGGAGGTATGTGAACATTCTTGTGTGCAGGGCTTTTTTGTCATGGAACGCGGCTTTTTTGTCATAGAACGCACTGGAACAGCGTTCAGGCACCTTTTTTTCAATGGATTTTAAGAAGTGATTTTGAAAGGAGTAGCAGATCAGCAGCAAACATCATTACCATAGTGCCTGCAGGCTGCTATTGTGTCTGCTAACTGCTATCTGATAGTGAGAGATAGCTGCTTGGGAAGCTGCTGGGCTTGGGATTGGTGTGTGTGCTTACTGCAGGCGGGACGTGAGTTCCGGCACCTGGCACCTTTTTTTTTTTTTTTTTTTTTTACAAAAAAAGCACTGTTTGTGTGGCATCAAAGCAGGTCCTACATTCATGCATGTATGGATGGAGTGGGTGGTTTGGAGAAACAGAGAGAGTAAGACGATGGGAACACCACATATAACCGTCACATACCTCTTCATCACTGGTGAAAGTCTTCACTGTTTCCAAGCTTTGCAGGAATGTCATTTTGTCTTCCCTGCTGTTGTAATATCGTATGTTTATTTCATCTAGCCGGTTAAGCTTATAAAATTTGGAATGCAATCCTACTTCACGTTTATTCATTGTGGTTCCATAAATCATCGAATAGGCATGGTCTCCAATTTCTCCTGTTTGTTGTCTGCAAAAAAGGGAAAGCAATAGAAAATGTGGATAAGAGGGTGAATTTGGAACCCGGAAAAGGCATGAATACAGTAAGAGATAAGGTTGTGCATATATAAGAGTTGTGCAGTTTTAGTTCACCATATAATACAACGTTCCAAAACCTTGCACAACTGCATCACCATTTTGAGCTTCTTCCCTAATTGTCCCAGGAAGATGGTTCCTAAAAAGCTTTCATCACTGCCAAATCTTTGTAAACCAGGGGGCCCAGATTTCCTGGATGATGTACAGTTATGCCTCAAGACACATTTTTAAGAAACAGCACAGCTTGTTACTAGCATTGGTCTGAAGCATCCACTGCTGGGTATCCCTGTACTGATCTCTGTGTGTGCAGACTACAAATAAAGGGCTCAATGGCTAACAAAAAACATTACGCTGATAAGGCAAGGCAAATAAAATACAATATAATAAGAAACTGAGAAAGTAATACTGAGGTTGGACACAGTCAAATATGAAAACAACATATAAAGAAGCCCTGTGGAGCAGACACTGAAGCAGGAATGTGAGATATGAGATTTTCAAAAGCCCCATACTAAACCCTTAGCAAGTTATAGAATATTTTTTAAATATTCACTAACTCTGATACTGTTGTTCTGTGTATGCAATGATGTACCTTGATTTTGGGAATAATAGTTATCATCATCCTAAATATGTAATTGCAACACTTATAAGCTACCTTTTATCCAGGGACTTCAAGGCAACATACATGATCTCTCTCTCTCTCTCTCTCTCTCTCTCTCTCTCTCTCTCTCTCTCACACACACACACACACACACACACACACACACAGACAGAGTGTGAAATAAATAAGCCAATTGGTGCAAGGACACACACAGCTGAATGCAGATTTAACTAAACTTGCTCAACATGGCATGCTCCAGATAAGTTGGACTACAACATGATCAGGGACCCTGACTGGGAAGGATGGGAGAAGTAGTTAGAACTTCTGAAAAGCTCCATGTTGGGAAAGGCTGCTCTAACCACTACACACACTGGCTCTCCCATTTGATCTGTGATAGCATCAAAGAAAGAGGCTCTTGGCAGTTCACAGTGGCCAGCGCAAGAAAATAACAGTACGCAGAAGTCAACTTGGCATAATACATCCTATTAATACTAAATATATATATACTGGAGAAGGGAAACAGACAAGACAGAAGCACATTCAAATTCTTTAAAGTAACTGGCATATCATGTAAATTGCACTGCTTCACTATTAGGATTTCAGGCCAAACGCAATGAAATTGTCAACACGCAATGAAATTGTCAACATGTTTACACAGAAATAAGCCCTATTAACTTCAGTAGATTCTTGTCCCATCAGTAAGAAAATAACCTCTTATTACAAGGAGGGCTCCGCTAACGATGTCACTACCAGTTTCTGTTTTAGTATGCTAATGGACAGACAGCTCCTATAGCCTGAAGTGCCCGATCCTGCCCAGTCTTGGAAGCTAAGTAGGGTTGGGTCTGGTTGAAATCTAGATGGGTAACTTAAATGTTGTGAACCTCCTAGAGAGCTTCAGGTATGGATGGTAGAGAAATGTAATAATCATAAGAATAATAACCAAAAAACATTATGTTGCTATTCTGTCCTATCTTCCTGAACAGATTTCCAAAAATAAATAAATAAACAATCAGATGTCAGAAAAGGAGATCATGGGAAAGCATGGGAAAATTACAAATGGAAATCAATGTTGTTTTCACATGTTCTTCTGCATAACATTCCATGAATGTAGGTTGGCGACTGCTTCATCTGGAGGACCCTTCGGCTTGGCTGTTTTGGTAATCAGAAATTACAGAAATTAAAATGAGTTCTTTGTGTCATGCAGCTGCTTATAATGAGTCTCAGGTATGGCTTGGTCTGGCACATCCACTCAGATGCATGAGCATTCATACCCAATGCCAGAGCGCAGCCTCCTCGCTGTTTCCTCCTAATGGCCTTAGGACCTCTCCTATGTGGAGTTAGTCAGAAAAATACCCCACACCTCCCACCATTCCCCAGCCAGGATAGCCTTTGGATGGAAAAATGTTGCAGAATGTGTTCAGGATTCACACAAGTGCACAACCAGCTCCCTTGTGTGACACCTGTTAAGCATTCGTACATTTTTAGAATCTGCCTTAGAAAAATATAGGCTACAATGTGCGGAGTTTGGGCTTTGTGATATTGTTGACTACAACTCTCATCATCCCTCACTCTTGGCGAAGCTGGAAAAGTGGTGAGAGTTGCATTGGAGGGCCACATGTTTACCACCCCTGTCTTGGGGCAGTTATTGTCACCTTTCCATTCCGGACAACTGGAAAACCAGACTTTTACGGCATTTTGGTTGCTCTTAGTAAGAGCATGCCCATACTGTAAGGCAGCAGTCCAGGTGGGCAACTTGCTGCTTTCCAGATGTTTCGGTCTAATACTCCCCGCACAGCTGCTCATGCTGGGAGGACGCCTGCACGCTCGCCCGTGGCCTGGCCCTGCAGCACATCCTTCCTTGGGAGTTCCACTAATCTTCAACGCGGATTACTTGCCAGCAGTCACAGTAGCTGGTTAACGCAGAGCAGCGGGGAGAAAATCTTTTTGCTAAGGCGCATTATCCCGCTGCCCCCCACCCGCACAATTGCCCCAGAGGTAGTCTGGGGAAGACTGAAAGGAAGCTGCGCGCCACATGTACCCGCCAGCGTTTGTATTTCCCTCAGGAAATGCTGGGGTGATGAAGGTCGCGCAACGCATGAGTCGCTCCCGGGATCTTGAACCCGACAGTACATTCTGTAAAACGCTAATCCTGCTGCAGGGCCGCAGAAGAACTACAACTCCCGAAGGTCTGTACACTTGCGAGAGCCCGCCGGAGGAGGTGGAGTTAATTTCCCTTTCTTTTCCCGCCCGGACATGTGTAATAGTTCTTCGGGCTACCGCTGCAATTTTTCCTTCCTTCGTATTATTATTATTTTTCATCTTGCCCCTCGGGGAGTGTTTGCAGAGTGCGTTTCCCCAGCAGACCCCCTTCCCGTGAGGGGAGGCGCAATCAGAAGCGGCTGATCAGGCTGAACCCAGTGGGATTCCGGGAAATGGAAGGCGCTCAAGCCCCGGAAGAAGCCCTCGTGAGCTGCCCGGTTTGCCTGCTTGAGCTCCCAGCCGCTAGTATTAATGCACATCTGGATAGGTGTTTGCAGCAGGAGGAAGGGACAGACGACCCAACCCCAGAGCGCTGGGGCAGTAGCAGCAGCCCAGAGGCCACGGCGATGGGCCTGCCGATGAAGCAGCCTTGCAATAAGAAAATGCGCCTGTCCAAGTCTCCGGAAAGGAGCCACAAAGAAGAGGAGCCGGGGAGCAGCAGCCCCAGTCTCGCTCCGGTATTCTCCCTTTTCCACAAAGGGAGAAACTCTGGAGGGGAGAAGTCGGGGGCTCCGTACGACGCTGCTGCATCTCCAGCCCGGGGAAAGGGGGAAGAGAAGCAGTTGGACGGGGAGACTCTAGCCGCAGGAGTGAACGCATCGGTGCCCGAGCTGCGTGGGGCAACCCTGGCGCAAAAGCTGGAGGGGAAGCCCCTGGCAGATAAGCTGCGGCCAAACTACCTGGGAGATTACATGGGGCAAACGCAGGTGCTAGGCGAGCACACGCTCTTGAGGTCCCTGCTGGAAGCCCACGAGATCCCTTCCGTCATTCTTTGGGGGCCTCCGGGCTGCGGCAAGGTGAGTTACCCGCCAGTGCTGCCTCCACCACTGTCTGTCTGTCTTTTTTTTAATGCCTTGCAGCAGGCTCAGTGTCACATGTAACCACACAGCCTTTCTGGACGGGTTGCCCCCCAGATGGCTAAGACTACAACTCCCATCTCCACCACCATGGCTATATGGAGGGTACCATGGGGAAGGCTGCATGGTGGAGTATTAACTTGTGCCCTCCAGTTGTATGGGCCAACACCTCCCATCAGCCCTAGCAAGCACAGCCAGTGGTGTGTCATGGTAAGAGTTGGGCAAAACATCTGGAGACCCACCTTATAAAGTTTAATCTGTGACTGCTTCATTCAGATTCTTTATTCAGTGAGTTTAGAGGATTTATAATATAAAGAAAAGTCTTGAACATATGTAAGAGTTTTCCCCAGTAAATGTCACCAAGTAATACCAGGGTGGTTAATTTGTGGTCCACTAATGTTTTGGTTTACAATATCCATGAGTCCTACTTAGCCTAAACAGTAGGAAGGCTTGATTGGATTTGTAGGCCAAAGGACAGAGGGGCCCTGGAGTGATCACAGCCCATCCTCACATTTTCTTAGGAATTAGGAGCAGGTCTTGCAGGAAAAGTGATCTAGAAGCTTCAACTGCACCTCTTTTAGAAATGAAACTCATAAGGTGGTAACATAAGGTGATTTGCTATAGATTTCTGACATCTAATTGTTTAACAATAGCAGCAATCACTCCCCCCTCCCCCATCCAATTAGGTTGCTGAAAAGAATATGTGAGGGCAGGGGTAGGGATCTGAAAGGACTTGCATGTTTGGTTCTTGTTCTGTTTGTTCTTTGTATACATTGGTCTGCTTTGCATCTGGCTTGGTTGGAAACATAGATTAGAATTTCCAGATCTGAAAGGCTGAAAAAATATCCATTTTGCAAACATTACTTCAGCTCAGCCCATGTGTAAGTTTAGAAGGGAGGCCACATTCTAAGATATATGAAGGCATAAGCCAACCAAGCACCTGCCTTCTTTCTTACCTAAAAAGTAGTCTCACTAAAAACTAGTGATCTGAGTTTTTTTAAAAATGTTCTTTTTGCATTAGGGGATGTACTAGAGAATAATATAATTTAGCATTTTTTTACTTCTGTTTAGTAAACAACTGAGCATATTAAAGTTTTGGTTCAACACACCGTTTGAACCAAACGTTTAACCTGAAATATTTGAGGGAAAAATTAAATCACACTGAATGTGATTTAAATATGAAAGTTAGCATTTGTATTACAATTCCTGTAAACATCTAAAGGCAACAACATGTACTTCCCTTGTTGTTGTAAAATGCTGTCAAGTTATCTCTGACTTATGGCAACCCTGTAAATGAATGCCCTCCAAACACAAGGCTGTAGCTTCCTTGATGGAATCAATCCATCTCCTACTTGGTCTTTCCCTTCTTCTGTTGCCTTTGACTTTCCCTAGCATGATTGTTTTCTCCAGTGAGTCTTGCATTCTCATGATGTGCCTGAAGTGCCATCATTTTCACTTCCAGGGAAATCTGTGGCTTGATTTGATCTAGAATCTACTTGTTTGTCTTTCTTTTACACAGGGTATTCACAAAGATCTTCTCCAGCACAATATCTTGAATTTTCTTCCTGCCAGCTTTCTTCACTGTCCAGCTTTCATGACCATATAGTGAATGGGAATACAAAATTAGAAATGATTTTTGCCTTGCTCTCCAGTGAAACATCCTTACATGATGATGTTTTTAATTCCTTCGCTTCCTTCTCAGTTTTCTTAGAATTTATTGACTGTAGTCTTTGAATTGATGATTGAGCTAAGGTCTGCAAAATCTTTACAGTTTCAATTTCTTCATTGTTGACCTTAAAATTGTGTAGTCTGTAGTCATGGTTTTTGTATTCTTAATGTCCAGCTGCAGTACTGCTTTTGTGCTTCCTTCATTCACTTTCATCAGGAGTCATTTCAATTCATTGCTGCTTTCTGCCAATAATATGGTACCAATGCATCTTCTACCAGTTTCTGCACCTTCTTCCTCTGATCCTACTCCATCTTTCCTTATGATATATTCTGTGCACAAATTGAAAGATAGGCAGATATCTGTATTCTGACCTACAGGTGCTGAAGAACACCTGTTTGTTTCCAGACCATCTATAGCTTCTTGTGATCCACACAGTCAAAGGCTTTGTTGTAGTCTTATAAAGCATAGGTGGCTTTTCTGAAATTCTTTAGTGTGTCTCAGTAGTCAGTGTGTATTTGCAGTATGATTACTTTATTAATTTATTTCATTTCTATACCTCTCCACAGCTAAAGCTGTCTAGGCAGTTTACAACAGGCCATAAAACAAATAATACAATGAAATCAGGAAGACATTAAAACAGCTAAAACCAAACAATAACAAAGAAAAACTCTGTAAAACATTTGGAATGTACATGCCCCTGGGTATCCAGATAAGTCTGTAAAAGCCTCAGCATAAAGGGTCTTCTTAAACTGGTGTGAAAAAGATGACAAATCTGGCACCAGATGAGCCGTGGTGGGGAGACTGTTTTATAAGGTTGGGGTGGGAGGTGCATCACAGAAAAAGCCTTCCCATTCCATTCTTGCAGTTAGCAGTCAGAGGAGGGTCTCAGAGGCTGAATGTAGCATTTGATTATGGTTGGGAGAGGTGCTCCAACGGATACTGTGGTCCTAATCCATATAGGTTATAGGTTAAACCCAGCACTTTGAATTGGGACCAGAAGCTTGCAGTCAGCCAATGCAAGAGAACCTGAACTGGTCTTACATTTTTGGACTGGTGGGTTCCCGTTATTAATCTGGCTGCTGTATTCTGCACCACATTCTATTACTCGTACAGTGTTTCAATTTAAGGGAAAAGAGTACTGAAAACAAGAACAAACCAAGAATCTTTAAGCAGCCAGATAACTGCATGGTATGTTGGCAACAACTCATGCATTTCAACAGAGTTCAGCTCTCTTCCACTACAGTTGTTGGGGCACCATAAATTTTTCAGTCACAATTTATTAATTCCATTTCACATTAAACATATATGTATCCTTCTATGTATTTACTAGGGTTGGTTGCCTGAAACAAATTAATTACAATTTGAAATGGCGAAAATTGCCTAATACTCATTTATAGTGAATATCCATTCCTTGGTACTAATTAAACCTTCTACAGAAAAATAAAGCACTAGGGAAAAATACATTTTGAACATATATTTTCTGCCTCACCAAATTGCTCAAAACATAATACTGTACATAATAATCCAGGCCTTGCATTTTATTCCTTACCTTTAAGAAAAAATGTGTAAGTTTTTAAGTACTGAAACCTGTGACCTCCTGAAATCGTTGAGGGGGCCATAGGATGGTTCATAATCCCATACATGACCTTAAAAATGCCTTCTGTGGTCTGAGCTGGGACCTTGACCATGGAGGGGCCCCTTGTTCTCAAAGCTCATACAGCTCTTGCCGCACCAGTTGGGCTGCAAAGACAGTGGGCTGGAGATGGCAGTGGGCATGCTGGGAAGAGGGGAGGGTGAGGCGTCACCATCCTGCCAAGAATCCTGGTGGTGCCATGGCCTCTGCTCCTCACAAGGAGGGGCAAGACATTTAGGTAGCTGAAATCAGCTGAATAGCAGAGGCAGTCTGCATCGCTACACTCCCCCATCTTTGGCTAGATGCCTGTTATCCTTTCGAGTGTGGAAGGTTCCAGGAAACCATATTGGATCGAGCCTCAAATGAATCAAATAAGTTGAGACAAAAGAAATGGAACTGCTTATTTCTGTGATAGGAAGTATCTGGGCATACTGATTACTGCAAAGTCACAATATTTAGATTCTACTGACATTGGAAGAAATATCCAGATAGAGTCAGCATCAAATCTACATTGGGAATCACGTGGAAAGGCATTTTTGGCTGTCTTCTGGGGAAGCAAATACATGTCTGTATATTTGTACTCACATAACATGTGAAAGCCCCACTATTTTTTCTGCCTTTATACTCATGAGAGGACAAACGCAGGATGACCTGCAACTGACATCTGGCTGTGCCATGCAGGGAGTTGTTGGACTTGGTCAAAGCATGCATCAGATTGCACCCTAAGAAGTTCTTCTTTGCCTTGGCTTTAGATGGCCAAACTGGTTTAAGATAAGTTTGTGTTTGTTCTATACAGTATTTTTATGGGGCTTTTATTTGATTGGTTTTCTTAGATGATACTCAAGCAGTTGTGTTCTGTCCCAGTGGTGTAAGACTAAATAAAAATCTAAATAAAGGGTGTTAATCTTGTGGTGTAAAGGAAGCATTGAATAATTTGTTAGGTGATCCTTGGGGAATGTGTGGAAGAGTTATCTATGTCTACCATTCGAGACATTTCCAGTTTAGAATTACTCCATAAAATGATACTGATGTTCAATGCAATGAAATAAAATCATTCCCTCTAATAGCAAACTTGGTTACTAGCATGCCTATCTGCTGGAAACAAAATGTGACTACCCAAAAATAATAGAATGGCTTGTACCTACTTGGAAGGCTCTCTGGTTTGGCATGTGTGGGTTTGCAAATGAAATATTATTTAATAGTCCTGTGAACTTCCAGGGACTATGGAAAGTTAAAGGCATACAGATAACAAAATACTGAAGTGACTTACCTCATTTTCAAGAGCAGGAACACTGAATGCAGCATTTTGGTATTCTCCACACAGTGGAGGTGAGAGCTACAACTACCCATACCAAACAATGGAGAAATCCAGGGCTTTAGCATGTGTGTGAGTAAGCATCAGAAGGTAGCTGCTCTTTCTCTCTCAGGTCCACTTTTGTATGGACCCTTGACCCTGGGGCTGGTAATACATTGTATCAGTTCCCCACTGGAATACTTAAAGAGTCAGACTAGGTCACCCTACCATCACAATGCTGACAGTGATAAAATGGCATCAGTTCCTCTTAATGTGAAGTGAAAACATCAATATGATAAGCATTAGTTAATTGCAGTGGAGGAAGAATTGCTAAAGATAGGTAT